TTTGTTCTTTTTACTTAGGTTGGATACCATTTCTTGGAAAGTAAGTGACAACACAGTATATTTTTATAAAGTAAATTGTATAAATAAAATTGTTTATTTCTCTGGGTGATTTCTTGTGATGCAACTACTTCTTCTGTGTGCACATGCAAAAAAAGTGATTCCCAAACCATTATCAGGATTTATACACATCTGTGTGAAAACCAAATGCGTGTTCTACCTACTTTCTCGCTTTAGGTAATGAGCTTCTAATATGTTATTGTGTTCTGCATGTGAAAATTATTTGCACATTGCATGCTTTTGCAGGTGGCAGCCGCTTTAATCATTATCGAGATAGAGGTACATATGGTCCCCATGTGATAAACTCTATACTCCACAATACACAGTGGCTATATTCATTTTAAATATTGATTAGCAATAAGCATTTGTGTACTCTGGGACTCTATACAATTAAAGTGCTATGACTCCAATTTATGATTCCATATCAAGATACTATGTAATACTGGGATTCACTGTTTAGAGAGGAGTAGATAGAATTCTCAACCAGAGACCTGTAGTGCCTCAGCAAACCTCAAACCCCAAGATTCGATAGGATCCATGGCAGTTAAAGTGGAATCGTAGTGCTATAATTCTGTAGTCTGAAATGACCCCTGGAATTTAGAGGGGACACATGTTTATTTTAAGATGTAAACGTGTGTCTACATTACCCTGCACAGTCACAAGGTTTTGATATCACTTTAACCTCCATAGGTGTGAAGCATTGCCATGTGGTTGTAAAGGGGGTCACAAGGGTAAAAAGTTTGAGAACCACTCTACTGAGGGAATTTTAAAAAATTGAGGGAATGGGGTGAAAATTAGTGTGGTCCTATGGGGTCTTATGGGAGGCAGATGCACCCCCAACAATTGTTCTGCATCATGATCTTTCAGAGGACTTACAAAGATCAACACAGGAGATTGTGTCACATTAGCAAAAGGTTCTTTTAGTATCAGGAAGTGTTTAAGGATTTCAGAGTGGGTAACCAGCAAAAAGGCACAGAGAGACCAAATTTGGCTTTTAAACACTATTCATGTAACATTTATTAAGACATATACAAGACATATACAAGACAAATACAATCACTTTAAGTATCAAGTATCATACACCATACTCACACGACCCTCCATTTGAACATTGATTAGGTGCTCAATGGAGTTTTAGATGACCCATTGCCGCGGTTCCAAAATCATGGCATCAAGCTGGAAATCTCCCAGACTTTATAGTCAGTATACCTTTTCTGGGTAATCATATTTTGGTGGTTTCCATAGTATCATAATTGCTTTGTTTTCTCCTGTTCTTATCAGCGTGGCCTTGGATATGTCCTGGCTCTGCTAGGATATGTCCTGTTTCTGCTACACCTATCCAGCCACATCTGCATTCTTTAGCAATTCCTCACTTCATCTGCCAAGTTCCTTCTTCAAATAAGTCTCTGTGCAGCAGCCATCTTCTTTGGTTCTTCAGGTCACTTTTACACACACCTAGGACCTTATCACACGCTGACCACAAAGCGAAAAGTAACCGAAATAAGAATAAATTCAGTTCT